AATGAGAAGTTTCAAAGGGACTACCAAGCCAGTTCTGCCTGCTGTGGGCATCTCCTATGCCTGTGTTACCTGGGCTTGAGTTTTAGACTATGGGGCTCAAAAACAACAGAAACTGTTTGGAATATTCCATCAGGTCTAATTGACTTGTGCATGAGCACTCTGCCACATAATCACCACTCATTTTTGTCTCTTGCTCCTCATTAGTCATGAATCATCGCTCTTTATTTAAATGGGAATGAAATTACTATGACTTCCAAAGCAAAATCCCCAAGAGCAAACATTAAAAGTGTCCTTTGGGTGGGGGAAATTGGAAAACACAGACAAACATGTTTTGGTCTTAGGAAATTCCCCTGAAACTCAGTAAACTACTGTTTTTGATTAAACTCTGAATTGCTGACTTTTACATTAAGTCATGTTTCATATACATTTTCTTACTCAAATCTACATGGTCCTATTGTTGCCATTTTATGGGTGAAAAAACAAGAGGGTAACAAAGTTCAAGGTCATACCTTAAGATAACACATAACTAGAATTTAACATTATCACTTACCTCATGGTAATGCCTCTATATTTCTGAGCATTCTTTTTATAGTTCAGAGAATTTGAGTCAAGAGAAAAAGAACCCAAGGAAGAGTCCTAAATGGAAGATGAGGAATTGAGGGAAAGTGTAGGTGGGGTTTTCTGTCCCACCATCCTGCTCCCAAATAACCACACAGAGACTTATTATTAATTATAAATGCTTGGCTGATAGCTTAGGCTTGTTACTAACTAGCTCTTACAACTTAAATTAACCCATATTTCTTATCTATGCTCTACCATGTGGTAGTGCATTTTTCATGATGGTATGTTCATCTCCTGCTTCCTCATCATCTGGCTGGTGACCCCACTCTCCTTTTCCCCAGTGTTCTCTCAGTCTGCTCCTCCACCTAACCTCTTTCTGCCTAACTGTTGGCCAACTGGCTCTTCATTAAACTAACAAGAGCAAAACATCTTCATAGTGTACAAAAGAATTATTCCACAGCAGAAGAGGAAAGAACAAGATGTTTTTCAGTAAATGCTGTCCCCGTGGGTATTATGGGGAGCACCAGCCAGTTACTGAGATTCAAGGAGCCATAGTTAATGTCAAAGGCTGAAATCCCCTATTTCTTCATCAAGCTTACTTTTCAGTGGGCCTACTGTTTCTTAGATATGTGTTTTGGGGGCACAGAACCACTGTCAATGTATAGCAGGAGAGACAGCCAGTACTGGGGATCTTCTTAAATATGTCATGGAGAGCAGATGTGAAAGAGGAAAGCCAATTACAGTGAGAACTCACTCATGACATTTGCTCTCTGGTGCCTGGTTGTCATGAAGTAGCCTCTACAGGTTTGAGGACCCACATTGCCATGTCCCTCTGGACTCATGCTCCCTTTCCATGGTCTAATGATGATCCCAGGATTATAACCTCTGGCTGCCCTTAGAGTTATTTAAATTGGAGAGGACACATGCATGGGTCTAGTCATAAACTCTCAATTTCCAAAGGAAAAACATGAGGCCAGATGTAGCCTAAAGTTTCTCCAGTCCTGCCAAGCCCCTGTAGTGGCTGCTTATGAAATAATCACTCAAAAGTTTATGTTAATTATAACTGCTCAGCCATTAGCTCAAGCTTATTACTGACTAGCTCTTACACTTAAATTAACCCATAATTCTTATCTATGTTTAGCCACTTGGCTTGGTACCTTTTCTCAGTTCTGCCTTCATATCTTGCTTCCTCTGTGTCTGGCTGGTGACTCCTGACTCAGCCTTCCTCTTCCCAGAATTCTCCTCATCTGCTTACCCCACCTATACTTCCTGCCTGGCTACTGGCCAATCAACATTTTATTAAACCAGTGCACAAAAGCATTATCCCACAGCAGTCAGTGTTTTCCAAAATGGAACAGCCAGTTAGTAACATAGATTGATAATAGACTGGGTATGGATACACCTTCTTGCTTATATAGAACTTTTACTTCTGATGCATAGTTTTCTCCTACATTTGATCTTCCAGTTCCCGAGAGATTGATGCACTTCCTCAGGCAGTGAAGTGTTCAAGCTGTTTTGCATTTCTCTGTATGTTCTGTCAGTAGTCAAGGAAGCATGAAGGCTTGACAGGACAATTGTTCTTAGACATTAATTTTGTGTACCCTGTATGGCTTGGAAACTTCATTGTATTCTGGCAGCTATAACTGACTTATTCTGGCAATTGCCACTATAGTCTGTCTCTAATAAAGATATAAAAAGTCTGATTGCTCTCAATAAAATGGTCACAGGCTCAGCTGTGCTGTGGCCAGTTTTAATTCTTCATGGCCATATTAAGTGACCATGACCCTGGTAAGTAAACATAGATGTAGCATGAATCTTAAAAGTTCTTATTAATAAAATCAAACCTGAGCCAGGTATTGGGGTGAACTGGAAGATCAGAGAACCAGAACAAGCCACAGCCACCTCACCTTGCTAGTTCCTCAGCTGGTCCTGTTTCCTCAGACTGGAAGCCTCTGAGTCCTCATCCAGAATGAATCTCAGCTGAACTGTTGCTAGAAGCCTAAAAGCTTAACCAACCAAATGCCTAACCAGCCAAATGCTTCTAGTTTCTGGTCCTCACGCCTTATATACCTTTCTGCTTTCTACCACCACTCCCTGGGATTAAAGGCTTGCTTTCTGGGATTAAAGGCGTGATGAGTCACCATGCCTGGCTGTATCCTTGAACACATGGATTTCTGCCTCTGGAATGCTAGGATTAAAGGCCTGTACTACCACTGCCTATTCTTTATGTTTAATATTGTGGCTGTTCTGTCTCTGACCCCAGATAAGTTTATTAGCATGCACAATATTTGGGGGAATACAGTACCACACATAGATGCTTACAATCTGACACTAAAAGTTTCCAAGAAGAAAATCTTTAAGAACAACTTCAGCTCCTTGACAATGATTTCTTGGATGTACCAGTAAAGTGTAGGTCTAAAAAACAAAAGTGTGCCAGTAGGGTTTGAACCTAAAATGCCCACACATGTTCATGTTTGAACACTTGCTCCTGAGCTGCTGGAGCTGTTTGGAAGGTTGTGAAATCTTAGGGACAGGGCACTTCACTGGCATATGCTGGCCACTGTGGGACAGTTCTTCACAGGTTATATCTGGCACTTATCTCTCTCCGTCTAGCCTTGTGCTCCAAAGCTGGTCAGCCACTGTCATGTGACCTGTGCTTCATGCGCTGTCTGTTCTGCCTTCTCCACAGGATGTGCTGAAACCACCATTCAAAGCAAATCTTTCCCTCCTTCAGTTACCTGTGGTAGATACATGGGCACAGGGACAAGAAAAGCAGGGCAACTACTGTGGGTCTAAAAAGCTTCTGCACAGAAGAAGAAGAAGAAGAAGAAGAAGAAGAAGAAGAAGAAGAAGAAGAAGAAGAAGAAGAAGAAGAAGAAGCAGCAACAAATGAAAAGGTAAGCTAGACACCGTGGGAGAGGTGCTGTCTCCTCGGTACAGGGTGACTCTGTCTAAACTCTGTACATGTTTATGTGCAGATTTTTATTAAGTTCTATGATAGTTGTTTCCTTTCTTTCTTCTTTCTTTCTCCCTTTCTTTTCTTTCTTTCTTTCTTTCTTTCTTTCTTTCTTTCTTTCTTTCTTTCTTTCTTTCTTTCTTCCTTTCTTTCTTTCTTTCTTTTGTTCTTTCTTTCTTTCCTTCAACTTAACTTTTTATTGATTCTTTGTGGTTTTCATATCATGCATCTCCATCCCACTCATCTTTCTGTCCCTTCCCATCTGCCCTCTACCCTTGCAACCTCCTGCCCCCAAGGATAAAACAAGATACAATTTAAAAGAAAAGAAGGGAGAGCAAAAAAAGAAAAAAATCTCATTGTGGAAGCTATAGTATGACACAGTGAGTCACACAGTCCTTTAGTCTAAATATTATTACTTGCAAATGTTCATTGCAATGAGTCATTGATCTGGTTTGAGGTCTCTGGTTTTTGCTACATCATCAATATTGGGCCCTCACTGGGACTCCTCTTGGATATCCTGTTGTTGTCCTGTGTCATGGAGATCTTGTAACTTTGGGTTTTCAGGACCAGCCCTTTCACCTGCTCCAGCAGAGCACAGATAGGGTGGAGGATGGGATGGGCCAATCATAACCCTGGTTCTGGGTCTGTGTGATTGCCGGGTTAGTCAGCCCCACAGCTCTCCCTCTTCTTCACCACCAGGGTGAGCTCTCCAGCACCCCCTTGGCTAGCTCACCCTAGGAAGTAAGCAGCAAGGGGTGGAGGTGATTCTCCTGCTCTCGGTGTCCTCAGGGTCAGCTCTCCCACATCTACACCACCAGGGCCAGCTCTGCTGTGTTGTCTAGGTAGGTGTATGGGCCACTCTGCCTAGTGCTGCAGCTGGTGAGAGGCAGGACCAGCTCTCTCGCTCTAGTGACCTCAGTGACGGCTATCCCACCTGCCATAGGCCTTGAGGGGCACTGGGGGGGGGGTGTCTTCTCTCCCTTGCCCACACCATGATATGAGAGATTAGGGGTGGGCCTGATCTCTCACACTCATGTTCTCAGGGCCGGCTCACCCATGCCTCTGTCAACGGGGTCAGTTATCTTTCCTGTGTTGCCCAGGGGAGGAGCAGGGCCCACTCTCCCTAGTGCTTCATCTGATGAGAGGCAGGGGCAGGTGGCAAGGGGTGAGGTGGGGAGGGCATCTTTCCCTCTCTTTCACTACCCCATGGCAGACAAGGGGTACAGTGCCAGCTCTCTCTCTTATGATCTCAGGGCAGGCTAGCCCCTGACCCCACCAGCAGGGTAGGTGTAGCAGGGTCCTTTGCTGTTGTTCCCTTTGGGGGAGGGGGCCAAGTAGGTGCAGAGTCAAACCACACAGACTCTGGGAGAATGTCGAAATAACAAGCTCAGTTTATTCAGGACGAGGCAACCACCCTGGGGGGAGGTCTGATGAATATGCATCTGTTGGTTGTGACATGGCTGCCTCTCATTGGTCCAGGTCATCTCCAGATCATGTTTCAGCTGCTGTTGCTAAGACCATCAGGCAGACCCAGGCTGGCTCTCAGAAAGTATCTTTTTTACTTGTTAGGGCCGGATGGCCCACAAGCCTGTTAGGGATGAGTCATCCCACAGGTAAGCACTACTGCGATGCTCAGGTGAGGTGCAGGGCCTGCTTTCCTGAGCGCTGTAGGCAGCGAGGGGCAAGGAGGGATCATCTCTCCCCTGCATGACAGATGAGAAGTGGGGCTAGCTCTCCCATGCTTACGCCCTCAGGGTTGACTCACCTGCATCGTCACCAGCAGGGCCAGCTTTACAGTGTTGCTGAGGAGGGCTTGCTCTCCCTAATGCTGAAGCCAGTGAGATACTGGGCCAGCTCCCTGGTTCTCATGACCTCAGGTCCAGCTCTCCTACAGTGGTGAAGGGTGAGGGGGGAGGGCGTCTTTCCCTCACCCACACCACTGCATGGCAGACAAGGAGGTGGGATCAGCCTTCCCGCTCTCATGCCCTCAGGGTTAGCCCGCCCACACCTGCCAACAGGGTCAGCTCTGTCATGATGCCCAGTAAGGCACAGGACCCACCTCCTCTCTCCAATGCTGCAAGGGTAGGATCAGTTCTCCCTAGTGTCGCGCCAGTGAGGGACAGATCCAACTCTGTGCCGCCCTATCCTCTCAGCCTTCAGTGGGAACAGGAGCCAAGGACGTCAACACAGACCAGGGCTGCAGCAGGGCCACAGGTGCAGATGTGGCCCTTGGCTGCAGCTCGGGTCTGGACAGCACCCACCTCAGCCTGCTCCTCACTGCTTTCACCTCATCTCCCACTCAGTCTTACTGGCATTGTGCAGGTTCCTTTCTTCTCTTCCAGGCCACTATGCAACTTCCAACAAAGGTCACTTATTCAGAAACCTGGACTGGTGAGGTGATTCTGCTGAAAGAGTATAATGGTGACCAACAGCCCAGCGCCAGAGGCACTGGGTGGGCTCACGGGTGAATTCTTCCCACCCTGGATCTAGAGACCTGGGGCAGAGCTATGTTTGTCCTGTGGAGCCTTCCAGGCCTAGAAACACCAAATGGTTCATGGGTGAATTCTTCTCACAGTCTAAGGACTTGGGATGGAGCTGTGCTTGTCCTCTGGGGTCCGCCAGGTCTAGTGATGCCAAGCAAGTCAAGTAGTAGTTTTCAAAATGACTTTCCCAAAAGTCCTTAGTGTTAGGTATCCCCTCACACACCCTCCTCTGCCCTGCCCTCCTCTTTTCATTTAACCCTTAATGTTCCGTTGTTCCTCCCCCTTTCTTAGCACCTGCATGCTACCCTCCTCATTTAAAATCTCCTCCATGACTCTTATTAGTTTCCTGAATTCTATGGACAATCCAGTTTAAACATTTGAAACTAACACTCATATATGAGAAAGAACACATGAAGCTTGTCAGAATGATTATTTACAGCTCCATCCATTTACCTGCAAATATCATAATTTCATTTTTCTTTACAGCTAAATAAAATACCATTGTGTACATGTGACACATTTTTATTATTCATCAGTTGATGGACATCTTGGCTGTTTCCATTTCCTGGCTATTGGGAATAGATGGCAACGAACGTGGATGGGCAAGTACCTCAAAGCATATAGAGTCCTTTGGGTATATGCTCAGCAGTGGTATAGCTGGATCACATGCTATTTTGAGCTTTTTGAGCAACCTCAACACTGATCTCCATGGTGGTTGCACCAATTTTAACTCTCACCAGCAGTAAGTAAGTGTTTCCCTTTTTCTCATCTCCACAGGCATTTATCATAACTGTTCGTGTTTTTGATCTCAACCATTCTGACTGTGATAAGATTAAAACCTCAGAGTAGTTTTAATTTTGCATTTTCCTGGTGGTGAGTGATGCTGAGCATTTTAGAAAATATTGTTATCTATTTGTATTTCTTCTTTTGGCAATTCTGTTTAGTTCCATGTCCCAATTTTTATTTTTTCTTGGTGTTTAGCTTTTTGAGTTCTTCGTGTGTTACAGTTACCAACCCTCTGTCTGCTGTACACACAGCTGGCAAAGATTTTTCCCCTTGTAGGACAGCTCTTCACTCACATGATGGTGTCTTTGGCTGTGCAAAAGCTTTTTTAGTACCATGAGGTCACATTTACTAATTGTTGGTCTTAATGGCTGTGCTATCAGGTCCTGTTCAGAATGTCTTCTTCTGTTCCTGTAATCTGAATCATGTTTCCTATTCTCTCCTCTGTCAGATTCAGAGTATCAGGTCTTACGTTGAGGTCTTCAGCCCATTTGGAGTTGAGTTTAGTGCAGGATCAACAATAAAGACTTTGTTTAATTCTTCTACATGTAGCTGTCCAATCTGACCAACACCATTTGTTAAATATGCTGTCTTTTCTCCAGTGTGTACTTTATTTGTCCAGTGTCTCTTTGTAGAAAATGAGGTAGCTTTAGGAACATGGGCTTATATGGGGGTTTTCAATTCTACTCCCCTGGGAAATATGTCTGTTTTGTGTCATTTTTATTACTATACCTGTTCTTATTGCTATGGCTCTGTCATATAACTTGAAATCAGGTATAATGATTTCTTCTGTAGGATTGATTTGACTCTCCTGGGTCTTTTGTTTCCATATGAATTTTGAGATTATATTTTCAATTTCATGAAGAATTGCATTGGAGTTTTGATCAGTATTATGTTAAATCTATAGATTACTTTTGGTAGGATGGCCATTTTCATAATATTAATCATACCAATCACAAGCTTGGTAGGTTTTTCTATCTTCTAGTGTCTTTTTCTATTTCTTTCTTTAGTTTCTTAAAGTTTTCATCATACATTTAACTCTCTTGATTAGATTCATTTCAAAATATTTTTTTTTTTTTTTTTGGTTTTTTCGAGACAGGGTTTCTCTGTGTAGCTTTGTGCCTTTCCTGGAACTCACTTGGTAGCCCAGGCTGGCCTCGAACTCACAGAGATCCGCCGGCCTCTGCCTCCCGAGTGCTGGGATTAAAGGCGTGCGCCACCACCGCCCGGCTCATTTCAAAATATTTTATTGTTTTTTTTTTTTTGAGACTATGATTGGATTGATTCCCTAATTCCTTTTTGGTATGGTGATGTTTATTTTTTTTTTATTTTTTATTTTTTGCAGTTTTTTTTTAATTTATTTTAATTTATTTTGCAATACAATTCAGTTCTACATATCGGTCACGGATTCCCTTGTTCTCCCCCCTCCCATCCCCCTCACCTTCCCCCCAACGCCCCCCCCCCCCATTCCCATCTCCTCCAGGGCAAAGCCTTCCCCACAGACTGAGGTCAACCTGGTAGACTCAGTCCACGTAGGTCTAGTCCCCTCCTCCCAGGCTGAGCCAAACAATCCTGCATAGGCCCCAGGTTTCAAACAGCCAACTCATGCAATGAGCACAAGATCTGGTCCCACTGCCTGGATGCCTCCCAAACAGATCAAGCCAATCAACTGTCTCACCCATTCGGAGGGCCTGATCCAGTGTGGACCCCTCAGCCATTGGTTCATAGTTGGAATGTGTTTCCATTCATTTGTCTATTTGTCCCTGTGCTTTATCCAACCTTGGTCTCAACAATTCTCGCTCATATAAACCCTCCTCATTCTCGTTGATTGGACTCCCAGAGATCCACCCAGGGCCTAGTCATGGATCTCTGCATCCAGATCCCTCAGTAGTTGGATGAGGTTTCTAGCACAACAATTAGGGTGTTTGGCCATCCCATCACCAGAGTAGGTCAGTTCGGGCTGTCTGTCGACCATTGCCGGCAGTCTGTTGTGTGGGTATCTTTGTGGATTTCTGTGGGCCTCTCTAGCACTTTGCTTCTTCCTGTTCTCATGTGGTCTTCATTTACCATGGTCTCCTATTCCTTGTTCTCCCTCTCTGTTGTTGATCCAGCTGGGATCTCCCGCTCCCCCAAGCTCTCTTTCCCTCGACCCTCGCCTTTCATTACCCCCACTCATGTCCAGAAAACAGCCTTATGGTGATGTTTATATATGGATGACTTCTGACTTTTGTGTCTTAATTTCGTACTTGCTACTTTTCTGAATGTGTTTACCAACTGTGGTGGTTTGAATGAAAATGTCCCCCATAGGATCATATGTTTGGATGCCTGGTCTTGTTTGAGAAGGTTTAGGAGGTGTGACCTTGCTGGAGTAGGTGTAGCCTTGTGAGGTGAGGTATGTCCCCGTGGGGGACTTTGAGGTTTTGAAAGTTCACACCAGGCTGTGCCTGCTGCCTTTAGATCAGGTTATGAGCTCTTAGCTACTGCTCCAGTGTCTGCCTGCCTGTTTGATGTCTCCCTGCCATAATGAGAAATGACCAAAACTCTGAAGCTCTAAACAAGGTCCCAATTAAATACTTTCTTTTATACATTGCCTTGGTCATGGTGTCTCCTCACAGCAATAGAAGAGTAACTAAGATATCAACTGTGAGAGTTTCCTGGTGCAAAATTTTTCTTCAGGGTTTATTTTTATGTTTATTTTTATTTTTGGTTTGGTTTTTCAAGACAGGGTTTCTCTATGTAGTCTTGGCTGTTTTGGAACTCACTCTGTAGTCCAGGCTGACCTTGAACTCACAGAGATCTACCTGCCTCGGCCTCAAGGGTGCTGGGATTAAAAGTATGCACCACCACTGCCATTGGCCTTCATCAGTTTATGAGCAAATGGGCCTCAGGTTGGTAGGACATTCTTTCCTTGTGCACACAGGGGTCAGAAGTGCCTAGGAATTTATCTTCAACTTTTACTCCTTGAGAAATAACTAATAGAGGCAAAAATATAAAGTTCATTTCTCTTAGCTCTCCCCAAGACAGTCATTTCAGGCAATTCCATACCTTTGGAGTTTGGGGCTCTTAAAGCAATTCCAGGCGTACAACTTCGTATACATATCCCGTGTATTTACCTAAAGTGGCGTTTCTATGTGAAAGACATCCTCTCAAGCCTACTTGAAGTTAAACTAAGCCACTCTTTAAATAGTATGGTAGAGTAGTGGACCTAAGATGTGAAACATGACCTAAGGGAGGAACTAGAGCCAAGGACTTGAGTGCTGCCTTTCAGCCAGTACTTACTGCTGTCTTATGATGGGCAGGCTCTTTGTAGGGCTTGGTATTTAGTGATGAACAACACAGCTCTTTTGGGTTCATCTAGCAGAGGAGAAAGATGTTAAGCATTGATCTCATATGTAAGTCTTTTCAAATGGGGTGCCACATAGAACAAACTGAGGGTTGCTACAAGGGTGCAACTGGGACACTAATTTTAAAATTTAACAACTTACTTTTTGGAGAAAATTTGGTTATTAAATTTAAAGAATTCTCAATGTTTGGATGATGTGTGTAACACTAAATTCATTGTAAATAATTGCTTTTGAGGAAGAATTTTAAAAAAAGCTATTCTACAGTCATTACTATTTGTAACAAAACTCAACTCCAACTGTAAATGCAAAACCAATTCTCTTTTTTCCTGTTTTGTTTTGTGAGACAGGGTTTTTCTATATAGCCCTGGCTGTCCTTGAACTCACTCTGTAGATCAGGCTAGCCTAAAACTCAGAGACCTGTCTGCCTTTACCTCCCAAGTGCTGGGGTTACAGGCATGTGCCACCACCACCTGGAGCAAAAGCAATTCCTTACAATGAATTTTTTCTGTTTCTATTTTATTGATTTCAGCCTTTATTTTGATTACCCCTTACCATGTACTGTTTTTGAATACTGTTTGTTCTTGTTTTCCATAGCTTACAGGTACATCATCAAGTTATTACTACTATGAGATCTCTAGAGCTTTCTTTCTTTGCTTTTTTCTTTGTTTCTTTCCTTCCTTCTTTCTTTCTTTCTTTCTTTCTTTCTTTCTTTCTTTCTTTCTTTCTTTCTTTCTTTCTTTCTTTCTTTGATATAGGCATTAAGTGCTGTAAACTTTTCTTGTAGGACTTCCTTCATTGTGTCTCATAGATTTTGATATTTTGTGTTTTCATTTTTACTTAATTCATTTAATTTTTCCTTTCCCTTCTTGATTTTTCCTTTTACCCAATTATGAATGCGTGTGTTTCTTAGTTGCCATGAGCTCACATATTTTTTGTAGTTTCTAATGATACTGATATCCAGCTTTATCTGACTGTGTTTAGATATTTAATTATTAGATAATTATTAGATAATTAATGACATTATTTCAATTTTCCTGTATTTGTTAAGATTTGCTTTATGCCCTAATACGTGGTTCATTCTGGAAAAAGTTCTGTGGGCTTCTCAGAATAAGTCTATATATTCTCTAGTGTTTGGGTAGCGTTTTCTATAGATGTCTGGTTAGGTCTGTTTAATTTATGACATCATTAAGTTTTATCATTTCTCTGTTCATGTTTTTGGTCCTGGATGATCTATCCATTGGTGAAAATGGGGTATGAACCAAGTCATCTGCTATTAATATGTTAAGGACCACCTGTTGCTTTATGTCCAGTAGTACTTGCTTTATGAAGTTGAGTGTATCTGAGATTGGTGCATAGTGTAATTTCCTCTTGATAGATTCTTCCCTTGATCGGTATGAAGCTATCATCTTTCTCTCTTTTGATAGTATTGATTTGAAGTCTATTTTGTCAGATATCAGAATGTTATGCCTGCTTGTTTTTTAGTTTCCTTTGATTGGAACACTTCTGTCTATCCTTTTCCACTAAGGTGATGTTTTCATTTTATGTCAGTTACTTTGTCAGAAGTTCTATTTTTTTCTTACTAAATTCTATTTCTACATTTTTAATTGTTTTCCCTTTTC